GAAAGTACATCTAGTAACACAGTTACATGTTTTATAACATCAGGAAAGTACATCTAGTAACACAGTTACATGTTTTATAACAACAAGAAAGTACATCTGGTAACACAGTTACATGTTTTATAACATCAGGAAAGTACATCTAGTAACACAGTTACATGTTTTATAACATCAGGAAAGTACATCTAGTAACACAGTTACATGTTTTATAACATCAGGAAAGTACATCTAGTAACACAGTTACATGTTTTATAACATCAGGAAAGTACATCTGGTAACACAGTTACATGTTTTATAACATCAGGAAAGTACATCTAGTAACACAGTTACATGTTTTATAACATCAGGAAAGTACATCTAGTAACACAGTTACATGTTTTATAACATCAGGAAAGTACATCTGGTAACACAGTTACATGTTTTATAACATCAGGAAAGTACATCTAGTAACACAGTTACATGTTTTATAACATCAGGAAAGTACATCTAGTAACACAGTTACATGTTTTATAACAACAGTAAAGTACATCTAGTAACACAGTTACATGTTTTATAACATCAGGAAAGAGTAGCTCTAGTAACACAGTTACATGTTTTATAACAATAGGAATGTACATCTAGTTACACAGTAACATGTTTTATAAAAATGATCGATTATTCATAAAACAAAACACAATTTATGAAAATTTTGTTTTCCCTCATCATCTGTATCCGAATATATCTGTCTTTTTGCCGTGAATAAAAAAAATGACTTGTCTAACATTTCACTAAGATATCGACAAAAGTCAAACTCCACCGAATATATTTTTGATAATTATGCTGTAAATCACTTAAATCTGGCGTGCATACTATTTCGTAAAGGGGTTTCTAATTTTGCCTATTTTCGCGGTTACTTGACGAAGTGATATCTATGTTCGTGTTAATTAGCAAAAACGTGACGAAAAGGTATTTCAGTTTGCGTATATTCCTGGTAACGTGATAAAAGGGTATTAAATGTCGCCTATATTCGCCATTCTGTCATGGAGAAACTTATAATTCCCTGTTCATTTGCGACATCTTGCTAAAAGGCTATTCTTTTGCCATCAGAAAATTGTGAAAGTTGTCGCGTGCTCTCGAAAGGCCCATAGCGCTTCGTCGTGGGCGCTTTGCGTCTATAGGGTGTCTCGTTACATTGTTAAGCTATATAAGTCGCTCTGTTTTATAGCAGCTTCCGACCAAATCACAATTGTATAAATATCAAATCAATATCCATAAACTCTAGTAAACAATGGACAGGTGTTGACGCAGGTGGCGAGCTCGTCTTTGTAATTCTACTGATGATACCATCGGGAATTGCGCTATATTATTATCCTTTATACCATCTTCGCCCTTCTGGTTTTCACGCCTACTCATCTAGTTTTGTTTTGTTTTTTATTTTTAAATATTTTCCAGTATGCAGAGGATTTCCAAGGTGATGCACGAAACAGTCCAATAGTGACTTTACGTACGACGTCTTTGGTAAGCACCTGTGTCCTATAACAACAAACGGGTGTTTAAGACGACTCAATACATCTCGCATTTTAGAGTAGTCAGGTACAAGTTTACGGTTGCACTGCATGTAATGTCGTCATAGCATATCTATTGTAACGGACTGATATAAAAGGTAAAATACATACCAATTTATCCAGTACCATCAAAACCAATGTGGTCTGCAACCCTTTGCGTACAAACAGTCAGTAACAAAACGATTCATGCAAGCTGTCAATTCTCATCTCGCCAAACAGATCCACAAAAGCGCTGGATGTGGGTTGACTCTCTTTTGACTTGTTAACAATGTCCGTGTGAAAACTGATATATAACGTATTGTAAAATCAAAATACATATTGTGTTCATGTGCGATCAGGTCTTGTATCGTCCCTCAGATATTTATCAGTGGTACTTAAAGTCAAGATGTTGAAAACTATATTTAATTTGTAGATTGAAATTACTGTTTCTATTGCGTGAGAAGAATACTAACATAGACATGAATGTCACCAAATAATTGAAAGATCAAGATTTTATTGACAGCATCATATTTATTTACTTGTTGAATTTTGTTACATTAATACTCTTCTGTCGAGGTCTTCTGTTCTCTACATAAACAAAACAATGTTCAAAACACTTGTTACACGACAGATCACCAGAAAATGTTTTTACAATATAAAAAATCACAGGACATATCCATTTTATATATAAACAAAATGTAAAAAGATCTTATCATAACATCCGTATAGGTACTTTTATAATTGCACACGTATAATCTTATTTCTATTTAGTTACATCTTTTTACAATTAACACGTGCAGCAACAGTTGATAAGAATTTACGTATCATATTACTAACTGCAATTAAAGATTTACTACTTATTACAACTTACATATACAACTATTAGTTACAACTTATGAATAAAGCTACGGTTGATAACAAATTACCTACATACTTACTATTTACAATGAAATAATGGTATAACTACTTATTACACCTTACACATCAAACAACTATCGCTTTGTTTATGTTTCTCTTAGAAATGTAAATATCCTAAAGGAACACAAATCATTTCTAATGGATATCAATCACTTGTGTTACGAGCGGTTGTGGTTGTTGGAATCACGTCACAAACCTGATGGGTCTGAATGTGGTTACACATCGTCCTTATCATACACTCGAAACAGTATGAAAATCATACTCCACTTCTGTGTAAGGCCGCGGCCACCAATACACGTTTTGATGACGCACAATTTCAGGTTATATTGATAGAAACGAAATTACAAACGTCAATCTCAACAGTGCTTTGACCCTATCGTCACAATAAACAAGCGATATTCACACGTTGATTTAACACGAATGTGAGAACACACGGAAGAAACGTCATTACAAATGTCACTCTTAACAATATTTTTACCCTATCGTCACAATAAACAACGATATCCACACGTTGATTAAACACGAATGAGAAGACACACGACAGAAAAGTAATTACAAATGTCATATATAGCTATGTTTTTACCCTATCGTCACTGTAAATAAACAATATTCACTTCTCTCCAGATTTTATTTTCAATGATTCGTAGTAAACGTCATTTTCCACATAGCTTGGTCCCATCTGATATTTGCCTGGTGTCTACTGTAGGAAGCGCTAGTCTAGATGTACTAGCCTCCAGTGCAATAGTGGTGACATCAGATTTGCCTGTGACTTCAATCGATAGCGTCTGTTAATCAACAAAGACATAATATTCATTGATAACTTGTTTAATAATCCAAGAAATTATCAATATTGATATCAATTTTTATTTCCGTTTTTTTTACATAATTATATAACATTCGAACAAATTAATTGAAATTTAAAACAACACCCCATTTTGATTTACATGTATAACATGTGTGATATCGCTCTGTAGGATGTAAGCAAAGCAGTGACGTCATACTTTCATGGCATAATTGGCAGTGTTTCTCTTGCTTTATTTGATCATATAACTTATTTTTCAATATGCTATCACCCCGAAGTCCTGCTGTATATTTGAATACAGGCGTTATCTGTATAATATCCGCGGAAGTGATATTCCGTCTTTGCGTATTGCAGAGTTATCTTCTCTTGGGAGCAGGTATTGATTGTTACGTCACATGTTTGTGAGAGAAACGTCATCAATTTTTGAGAAAACGACGTAATTTTCTCGCACAACCCAATGACGTAACAATCAATACCTGCTCCCAAAAGAAGATTACTCTGCAATACGCAAAGACGGAATATGTGTTAGGAAGTTGTTTCAAAGACCTAAATATTAAATAGTGTTAAAACTCAATGATAAAACTCAATTTGTGCGTTCTAATTTTTGCGCCATTTTGATTGCATACACCATTGTATCTCAGGTTTTCTGTTATCTCAGAAACTATCACGATACTTAACGGTCGTTAAGCTGAAAAAGACAAAGTACAGCCTAAATGTTGCCAGTAAAAGAAGAAAAAAACATTTGCTCCAATGAAACATGGTTACACTATTACAAAATATCGTTTTATTATTATCCATTGATTGAATCAGTATTTCTGACAATAATATCATTTGAACATTTTAGTGTACACGTTAAATAATTGACATATGTATACCATAGCCAGATATAAATATTCACCCAAAAGGTAAAGACAAGAGGGTAATACTTTTACAGAAAGAGGAAGCGCCAAATTAAAACTACACTCAAACTACAATTATACAGAGTTTATAATCTAAATTACCTTTGTATTATGGTCGTTTTTCTTTAGCGTTAGCCCGTTAGTGGAACCTGCCAAAGCAAATTAATAGAACAAGTTTACAATTTAATTTGAACGAATGTTTAAACAATCTGACATCTTCAAATATATATGTTAACTGTTTACTTTGCGTTTCGCTGAATTGAAGCGTAACCTCCGCGAAACCTACCCCTTAATATAACATTAGGAATTACGTCAAATGACCGACACAGTAGATCAATAACATTTAAGATATTCACAATAGATGCTTCGAGTGTTTGGAACGGGTAATGATAACGACCGAAGAAAAATTTAAACATTACAGTGTAGCTTGAAACATATTTTGTAGAAAACCCTGACTATGTCGTTTTTGGTTAGAAACTGAACCCATCTATTATCAACCAAATATCATATCCGAGTAGGGTTAACGATTTTAGGTCACCTGAGACAAAGTCTCAAGTGACCTATTGCGATCGCCTTTTGTCCGGCGTCGTCCGTCGTGCGTCGTGCGTCGTGCGTCGTGCGTCGTCCGTCGTGCGTCTGTAAACAATTTACATTTTCGACTTCTTCTCCAAAACCCCTGAACCAATTTCAATGAAATTTTGCAAAAATATTCCATGGCCAAAGGTTAACCATAATTGTGAATTATATGGTCCCCAGCCCCCAAGGGCCTGAAGGGCGGGGCCAAAAAGGGTCAAATTGACTAAAATTTCAAAAAACTTCTTCTCAAGACACAGATATCGTAGAATCATATACGCTTCATAGTTTGAAGGGTATTAACGTGCTTTACCAAAATTGTGAATCTCATGACCATGTGGTCTCACGTTTCCCCTGGGGAGGGGAATACACTTCACTATAGTTCATAGGGAAATCACATTTTGGACCAACCTTTGTTTAATTTCCATCGGTATTAATTCAAACTTGGTTAGCATTTTAAGAATTTGATAGCAGCTTGACGGTATGAACATATCAGCCCTGACTGACCCCCAGGGACTGATGGGTGGGGCCAAAAAGGGTTGAATTTACTGAAATTTCAAAATCTTCTTCTCAAGACCTAGATATCGTAGAATCAAATACTCTTCATAGATGGAAGGGTCTTAAGGTGCTTTATCAAAATTGTGAATTTCATGACCCTGTGGTCTCAAGTTTCCCCCTGAGGAGGGGATACATTTCATTATAGTTTATATTGGGAAATCACATTTTGGACCAACATTTGTTTAATTTCCATTGGAATTAATTTAAACTTGGTTAGCATTATCAGCATTGGATAGAAGTTTGGTGGTATGCACATTTTAGCCCAAAAATTGTTGAATTGACTGAAATTTTCAAAGATCTTCTTGGTAGAATCAAATACTCTTCATAGATGGAAGGGTCTTGAGGTGCTTTACCATAATTCAGCTGACTGACAGAACCAGTATTTGTACATAGTACATATACTACCTAGATCTTTCACACTACTTTTGCATTACATGTAGTTCAAGTTACCTTTGTTACAAAATGATTTCTTTTTCATTTGGCAACATCGATAGTATCAGTTTTTACATACATTAGCTGACCGTTAAGGCCCATGGGCCTCTTGTCTTAAAATGTTGCACACTAAGTCCATCTGTCTTACGCAAAAGCCCTTTTTTCAAGTCATCCCTAACACACATGAGTAGTGTAATATTCAAATGTTTGCATTTTCTTTAAACCGTGCATATTGGTGCTAGGATTATCCAAAATTGACATCTAGAATAATAATTGTTAAGTTAAGCAAAATATCGAAAATGCCATTTCTTATAAAACTAACTAATTAGAAAATATTGTAGTGGTTACTGAGATATTCACTCTACCATGCTTTTTCACATTTAGCTGACGCAAACGTCAAGACAGGTTATCATCCACATTTTCGTTTTTCCACCACTAATAGCCTGAACGAACTTACTTTGGGTTACTGCCGACATACAAGTGGAGCGAGATACAGTGGAGTTGTTATTTCCAGACTGCCCCTTTAACGTCGGCACAAATCTGATGTTATCCGTCTGATTTCGTAGAGAAATCTACAACAGGACACTCAAGTCAACATAGGATACTAAACAAAAGTTGAATGATTAGGATCGTCAACAAACAAAGTTTCTACTTCCACTACATTAAAACATAGCATTGGAAAATTCGTCATTAACATCAACATGTTTACATGAAATTCATTAAAAACACATTGTTCAATAAATCTCGAGTATGAACCACTGTGATTAAAGCAATGTTTTTAATTTATTATTTCAATTTCATTTATTATTGATTATTTTAATTTTGTTATTGATTTAGCGGTTTCTTCAATATATGAAGAAATTCATTAATTCATGGTGTTTGCCTGATGCGGTGAATTAACAATACCTTGAACAAGGCACCATACTTGCCTTTGGTATAAAGAGGATACAGAGAACTAGAGAGGTGCAGAAGATGGTGAGGCTATTTTGAAGAATGTATTTGAGGAGGGACTGCTCCAACATGAGGATGTGATGTGTGGGCACACCGATAGCACACACTACCACAATGTTGTACACGCAAAACCCAATGTATACGGAGTCGTTGAGAATAGGCACATGGATGTTCCGTGTTTCCCAGGCAAGAAACGTACCAAAAGCTAAGAGGAGCCCCTTGTACGCGTACTCAGCAGCCGCCCAGTATACAAAGTAACGATGGTTACATTGAACAAATACCTCCATTAGGACGACATCATCATCAGAGGCCTGTAAATTATCAAGTGAGCAATGAGATGACGTTATCAGGCATGTTAAATATCAAGTCACCACGTAAGATGACGACATTATAGGTGGTCTGTTAAATATCAAGTCAACACGTAAGATGACGACATTATAAGTGGTCTGTTAAATATCAAGTCAACACGTAAGATGACAGCATTATAGGTGGTCTGTTAAATATCAAGTCAACACGTAAGATGACGACATTATAGGTGGTCTGTTAAATATCAAATCAACAGGTAGGATGACAACATTATAGGTGGTCTGTTAAATATTAAGTCAACACGTAAGATGACAACATTATAGGTGCTCTGTTAAATATCAAGTCAATACGTAAGATGACGACATTATAAGTGGTCTGTTAAATATCAAGTCAACAGGTAGGATGACAGCATTATAAGAGGTCTGTTAAATATCAAGTCAATACGTAAGATGACGACATTATAGGAGGTCTGTTAAATATCAAGTCAACAGGTAGGACGACAACATTATAAGTGGTCTGTTAAATATCAAGTCAATACGGAAGATGACGACATTATAGGTGGTCTGTTAAATATCAAGTCAACACGTAAGATGACGACATTATAGGTGGTCTGTTAAATATCAAGTCAACAGGTAAGATAACGACATTATAAGAGGTCTGTTGAATATTAAGTCACCACGTAAGATGACCACATTATACATGATAAGAGGTCTGTTAAGTATCAAGTCAATACGTAAGATGACAACATTATAAGAGGTCTGTTAAATATCAAGTCAACACGTAAGATGACAACATTATAAGTGGTCTGTTAAATATCAAGTCAATACGTAAGATGACAACATTATAAGAGTTCTGTTAAATATCAAGTCAATACGTAAGATGACGACATTATAGGTGGTCTGTTAATATCAAGTCAACAGGTAGGATGACAACATTATAAGTGGTCTGTTAAATATCAAGTCAACACGTAAGATGACGACATAATAAGTGGTCTGTTAAATATCAAGTCAACACGTAAGATGACGAAATTAAGAGGTCTGTCTGCCATTAAGGATGTACTCTTCTGAGGTTTCAGTCACGTTCAAGTCTCGTTTTGATCTGGTGTAACGGGTTTTTGTAATATTTAACAAATTAAGATAGGTATAATAGCACGCACACATCTGAAAAACATGTAAAAAAATTGATGTCTGTTGTGTGTAGAATATTTTTTACAAGAATTTTTAAAAATGACCAATTTGGCGGCCATTTTGAAAAATGGTATTTATGTGAATTTCTTGCCTTCACAAAGGGCCAAAATTTCACCTTTTTTGACACTAGATTGATCACTTAAATTGTCATTGTGTCACCATTTTTTATTGTAGCAGGTTCAATTTTGCTGTACAATTTTATAATTTTCAATATGATTAAAATAATATTCAAAAAAGTGGAAAGTTATATATTATTGATATAATTTTTTACATATTAGGGTAACTGAAACACTTTTGATTTCCGACCTCGAAAAAGGTGAAAAATAACACAAATAATAATGGGACAAAAAAGAAGCACACCGACCGACCCCCCCCCCCAATTTTTGTGGATGTTTTAGAAAGAGAAACACATTTTCTTGTGATTCATTGAATGCTAAAAAAAGTTTAATACAGGAATGCATTTTTTCATCAAAAAATAAGGGGTAGGGGTAACTATATTCGCATTTCTGCGTAAAATGAATAAGAAATTTTACTTCGATAGTTTCAAAGAAAATAATATTTTTATCAATTCTACAAACATTCATACATATCTGATAACACACTTGGAAGAAATTGTATGAATTTGTTCTGCAAATGGGCAAACCCCGAAAATTCACCTAAAATCACATATTGTGTTAAATTGGTATCTTTGGCCGATCATAGCACAAAAACGAGCACAAGGACATATTTTTTTTGCATTTTCTACTATGCCATTATCTCCTTTTTCCAAAAATCAAGATAAGAAAAAAAGTTTAATACAGGAAAGTTTTGACTTCTCAGAGGTGTACCTCCTTAAGATGAAGAAGCTTACGCTTCCGGAACACCTGTTTTTCGACAAGATTTTACTGATTAAATAAAATATTTTTAAATGAAATGAAAATTTATAACAGATTCAGTTCATCAATACATACATCCTTGCATTAAATATTATCATTGTTTATATAGATCTACTGTGTGTTACAGTAACGAATTGATGGCTTCACAGTATGATATACAGTTTCCTTGCTACCGTTCTCCTGATTGGGATGTGGATATAGAGCTAAGACTATTATAAAACAGTCACAAGATATTCGGTTTGTTAATGAGGTATTAGCTATCAATTGGTGTCAGCTCTATAACGAGATATCCGTTAACGAGCACGCCTGGGGACAGCGACATGGTTTACCTCTCGATTGATTTTAATCTGCTGCATCTCCAGTGGATGAAAGACTGACCAGGCCGTTAGCAGGATGACGTCAAAGAGCAGAAGAATCCCCACCTGGCCGAACAGCTGACTGTCTTTGATGACCTGAAAACGAAAGCATGATAAATAAAAGAATCTGCAACGTGTACATTTTCAACAAAACTAAAACTGATCTGGCGAAAATGTTGACATCAGACATAAATTTTCTTTATACATTTTGTTTTTCTCACTTTCGAAAATACACTGTATTAATGCTCTGACTATAAACACAGTTATAAACCTAGAAATGTATCTATTATGTTATTTAGGTAAAGAAGGATACCTTTCGTGCGAGCGACGTCTGCTTGAAGAGCACATGAACTCGCCAGGTCTTGGAGAATAAAGCCCCAAAAACGGTCGTGAACCCTAAGGAGTACACCCAGGTATTAATCTAGAAAGGAAACGATATAAAATTACGATACCTAGGTTACTTGACAACCACGCTTTGACCTCTGGAGCACAAACATAATTTGTCATTATGCTACATAATAAATGATCAGCAATGTCTGTACTTAAGGAGGTTAATCATTTATACTACTCAGAACCGGAATACATTTTATGTTAAATTTATCAAAATTCTGACTATATTTCTTATAATTTTCTTATTTCCAACTGTTAAACAATTTATGGAAGGATTTGTTTTTTCTCAAGCAAATGTGTAAAACTGTGTAAATATATTAACAGGTATAGTCTGCGGTGCGAAAATATCGCTTATCATACAATATAAAGTGGTTGAAGTATGACAAGTTCGTTATACAGAGCGATGAGTACAAATGATTATGGTCCCTTAGTTCCCTGACAAAGTTATGTTATTTCATCGTGCTAACCAATTGACTACAAAGATAGCTCTCACAAAATATACAAACAGTTTAACACGGTATAAATATAGGTACATAAAGATTCGGTAGGGAAGGCATTCTCCTTTTCGGTACACTGCCCTGAGAGATGATTTAACAAACATATCTAAGATCATTTTTATTTAATTCAATATGTTGTCTTGCATTTGAATCACAGGGAAATTCGATAAATATAAAAATAAATTATTAAGTATTTTAATCAAGGTTCGCATTTGTGAAAAAACTAATGGTTTTATCACAGTTTAAGATCTATTTGAGCAATGAACTACATGGATAGTGCAGACCTTCTGGTATAACTGCAACATGTGTGGTCAGGCGATGTACATACATACTCTGAAGCTGCTGTTATACTCTCATAAATGAAGGGTATACATAAGGGTATTGCAAACCAAATGTAAACATATTTTAATAAAAGACGATTCATTTAACATTCTCCAGATCTATAGACGTTTCTAATGTGTATACATTCAAAATTTCGTTTGAATCATTTACATTTTATTTTACTACTATTTTCTTTTACAATAACTATATTTACCAAACACGTGGCTTTGCCGACATTGGGTATGCTGTAGGCACTGTAGGTAGAGATACACACACTGATGTGTACATGATGATAGCGCCAATGATTATCACGCTGTTACAATAACTATATTTACCAAACACGTGGCTTTGCCGACATTGGGTATGCTGTAGGCACTGTAGGTAGAGATACACACACTGATGTATACATGATGATAGCGCCAATGATTATCACGCTGTTACAATAACTATATTTACCA